TCTGTCCGCCTCTCAGTATATATTCTTAACACTGAGTGTAGCATCACATTCACTTTCTTTCTCATTCTTGTGTGGCTTACAAATTTCTCTACTAAAGTGTCTCTATTATAATTGTATCGTACAGATCATTTAACAGCATTTTGCAATCGCTGTGGTGCTTTAAAAAGTGGTTTCTTAGTTATGCTTTCTAATGGCGATGATCTTTCAACTGTAATACGTTTGCCATATATATTGATGAAATTTAGAAACATCCAAAAGTAATAGCTAAAGCTCTTTTTCTATCTGAGCATAATTTTCTGACTTTTTCGTTAGCTTTGGAAGCATAAGCATTGGTTGGTTTCTTGTAGTAAAACAGCACCTAATCCTTCAAACTTGCATCTACTGAGGAGTTACATCCTATTAACATCACAGAATTTTAATACGGTGCTTTTGCAATCAGTTTTAAGTTTCGAAGCTTTTTGTGTTTTTCATTCCAGTGCCAGAACATTTTTTCTCAAGTACTGTCTTAAGGGTCATTAGTAAAGTTAGGAATAATTTGGCTAAAGATTAATCATTCCCAAAATCTAGTAGCGGAGACATCTTAGTTTCTGGCAAAGTTTAAATCATTAGTCCCTTTTCACTTAACTGTGCCCTATATAATTCACTCGATTAATTTATTGAACTTCAATTATTTTCTCGTGCTCTCTGGAGTACTTTTTTAAGTCATAGCTCATGTTCCTTTTCATTAGATCCCCATATTAAGATATCATCTATAATACATTCAACGCCTTCTAGACCTTCTATTATTTGGCTTAATTTTCTTTGGCAAATTTCTGCAGCTGAACATATGCCAAAAGGTAATCTTTTAAATTTGTATCTGCCAAAAGGTTTATTGAATGTACACAAATTACTACTTTCTTCGTCAAGCTGGATTTGCCAAAAAGCACTCTTAGCATCTAAAACAGAAAATATTTTTGCGTTAAGCATTCGAGTGACAACTTCGTCAATGGTTAACATAGGATAATGTTCTCGTTTTATAGCTTTATTTAAATCTCTAGGATCTAAACATATTCTTATTTTGTTCGGTTTGACAACTGTGACCATTGAATTTACCCATTCAGTTGGTTCTCTTACTTTCTCAATAACATTTAAATTTTCCATTCTTGTAATTCTTTCTTAACTTTATCAGTATAGTATGGGACTTTTCTTGAGGATGATGACTGGTGTTACATCTTGTTTTTAACTGGCTTTTATTCTCCATTCAAACAACCTAAGCCTTCAATACATCTTTGTATTCCTCCAGTAAGTCTTCAGTGTAAACATACATTACTTCTGAATCAAACTAGTTGCAAACATGATTTAATCCTAATATAGAAGGTACTTCTTTGTCAATAACTTGGAATTCCACAACATAATTATTTTTTCCATATTGGCAGTTAAGTATACTTTTCCTAAGTATCCATTTTATTCCAGAGAATGTAACTAAGCTTTTAATTTCAGATTTCTGTATCAGAACATTTAGCAATTTCACTTTGTTTTTAGAAATAACATTGCACATTGCTCCAGTATCTAACTGCAAATTTAGTTTACTTTTATTTACATTAACGTCAACAGTCCATTTCTCTTCCTTGTTATCTGAATTAAGTTTAAGTGCCAACAAAATTCTAACTCTTTCTCAGTGTCATTTTTAACTTAATTTTGTCTATCTTTTTTGTTACCTTTACTGATTCATTTTTTATTAAGCTTTTACACTGATTCGCGAAATGATTTCCTTTTTACTTTATGACAGATTTTTCCATATGCTGGACACATTCGATACTCATGAGATGTCCACATTTAGAACAAACTTTTATCTTTGTTTTTCGTTATTACCTCTTGTAGGTATGCTTATTATGTGTATTTAGTTTCTTTTTCACTAAGTTTACAGCTGTTTCCTCTTCTTTTATTATTTTCATTTGATGTGCACTTATTTCAGCAGATCTGCATATATCAAGAGCTTTTTCTAATGTTAATTCTGTTTCATGTAACAATCTTGCTCTCACTACGTCATCTTTAATACCACAAACAATTTTATCCTTTATTAAAGTATGTGTTAATTGTGCAAACTCACATGTTCTAGCTTTATTTCGAAGGTCAGTTATGTATTCATCTATGGTTTCTGACGCGGTTTGATTTCCAGTAAAGAATAAATGTCTTTCATATGTAATGTTTTTCTTAGGAATACAATATTTCATATATTTTATCTTAATTTCACATAATTTAATTTCTTTACCTTCTTCTGTAGGAAATGTATTATATATTTCAAGACCACGAATTCCTATTACGTGAAGAAAAGTATTAACTCTTACCTTCTCTTCTTTATTATGTAATCCACTAGCTACTTCATATATTTCAAATGATTGCAGCCATCTCTGCCAATTCGAAGCTAGATTTCCGTCAAATTTCATCGGCTCTGGTGGTTTTAAACTTCTATTTTAAAGCAAAATTTTCCTGCCACCATATATTATATGAGGGTACACTTTAGCTTTTAGAAACTTTTATTTACAATCTTAGAATGTTATAATCACAGAGAACTGCAATACCAGCATAGTTCTATTTTTATATCTGTATCCAAAATGTTGCCAATTACAAGTTACTAAATATTAAATGTTACCATTTACAAATTATTAAATATTACAATATTTACTTGTTTACTTTATTAAACATTTCTTTCAATGCGCGCATGCATAAAGCCTACATTACGCATAGTCGAAATTAGAAAATTGCAACCAGAAAACTCTTTGATGTGTATTCCTGATATTTATAATGATGAGGAATTTGATTTAAATCATATCAAAGACGGAGTACATCGAGATGAAATACTACATTTAGTAAGGAATTATAAGCCGAATAAAATAAAAACATCTGCCCTGAAAATAAGGATAATGCTGTCTGATCAACTTCCAGTTCATTGCGCGCCGCGTCTTCCCCCCCCCCCCGCAGAGCAGCGTGAAGTTGATAAACAGATTTCGGAACAGTTAGATAAACAAAGGATATGCCTTTATCCATTTTTTATAGCAATTCGTTTTTTGTTTGATGGACATTGAAGCATACTTTCGTTTTCTAGATCCTTTGGGAGCTCCAGCATCGGAAATTCTATTTGACATAATCAAAAGTTCAAGCTTACTTTTATAAAATTGCTCTTACAGTCTGCAAAAAATAATATGTGCATGCGTTAACGCAATATGTGTTGACGCATGCGCCGAAAGTTTGTAGCCTTGAGGTCCAGATTATAGATCATTCCAGATTATGACGTCCAGATTAAAGACTTTTGACTGTATATGCAATTTTTAACACACAAAGGGCAATTAAAAGAAGCAAAATAAAGGATCACAACATCTCCCATTACTCGCTTTGATATCGAGTTTAATAAAAAATTCATTTAAGTTTTACAAAATATGAAATAGATAATAAAACAAATTCCAAATTTGGTCTTTCAAATGCCCATATTAGAGTGGAGGACTGCATTACTCAAAATTTGATGTATCTAGGTGCCATTGTTTTTTCATAGTGCGAGAAACATGCATACAGATTTTTGATTATTTAATTTCTTTAAATATAATGCAGGGCTCTATCATTTGGTTTGCAACAATATGAAAAGTGAAACACTGTTTATAGTGAACAGCGCAAAATGCCAAAGGGAAATTAATAGTCCTTCTGGGCAAATTGCCCCTTTGGGCTTAAAAAAAAAAGAGTTTGCTTCCAAGGCATTGAATATCTGAATATTGGCTTTGATCTGGACAACATAATGGAAGAAGAATTAATTGCATTGAAGAAGATTGTTCAACCTTAAGTCTTGTTCAAAACACGTGTGTGTTCTAAGTTTTGGAATTTAAAAGTCATCCAAGAGAAGTATCCCAAAATAAAAGTTGTTGTCAAAGAACCAACATTATTGGTTTTCCTCTCTTCTTACCTTTTGGAAATCTCTTTAGTCAAATCAATAATTTATTATGGAAAACAAGAAACAGGTTGAATATTTTGAAATGAGGTGATTTAAGAATTAAATTACAAAATTTTATGATAAGTATTAAAAAACTTGCATCAAACATCAGCCATCACATTAATTAAAATTGAATTTTTGTGAAATTAGTATGAGTGATTTTATTTCTGAAAATATTTTTGTATTTTTTTAATAAAAAAATAATAAAACATCTGTATATTAAATTATATTTTTTTAAACTTTTATTCATATTCTTAGTCTAATTGTAATCTTTAAGCTACTTATGTGCAATTATTTGTACTATGATTATGCTATATGTTATTATGATGTGTTGTATATTATACAGAAAAATTTATGAAAAAAGGAGTTTGATGAAATCAGTGCAAGAAAAAGATTGTGAATCTTTTGTCTAAAGGATGATATTACCTGTGAAGTATGTTTGCAAGCTAGACAAAGAAAACTGCCTTTTAATTCTGCTAGAATGAGAACTAAGAGAAATTCAGAAATAACTGATACTAATGTGGACCAACAACCAGTAACATGGGATAAGAAGAAATGTTTTATAACTTTACTTGTGATTATACCTATTTTCTAACAGTGTACTTGACTGGGGTAAATAGGAAGTGTAATGCAACAAAAGATTATGTAGTAGAAGTAGAAGCTAAGTGGAACATGAAAGTATCAAAGTCAAGACATCATAATAGAGGAGAATTTTTTGTAAAAATTTAAAAAGTAGCTTAAAAAATATGAAATTAATTTGTATTATAAAATTCTTTTTCCGCTATTATTAAATGAAAAAGATGAGAGAAGGAATTGAACATTGCTGGAATACTTGTGGAGAGATTACAAGTTGAAAGAAAAAAAAAAAAAAAAAAAAAGACATGGAGACAAGTTCTTCAAACTGTAGTTTATTTGTTAAATTGTACCTGACAGAAACAATCAGTACAACACCAACAGAAAAGTGTACTAACCAACAAGACCTAACTTATCAAGATTTGATTTTTTTTAATATTGCATATGATTGATAAATAAACTGATTAAAATGATTGATTCGCAAAGTGAAAGTAAATATTTGTTGGATTTGGAACAAACAGCTGTATATTATGGTTCAAAAATGCAAGAAAAAGAGAAATATCCCAAGATGTTGTGTTTGGTAAATTTTATGTTCAATAAATGAACAATATATAGATACATACGAAAATAATTTGTGGAAAGACAACCAACATCAAGTTTTAGAAAATAATTTATGTTAAAAGCATTTGACCTGTGAAAGATGATGGTTTAAAAGCTAATTATAAGAATGAAGGTAGAAATGGAAAATATTAAGCTGAAATTGATCATTATCAGTATCCATATTATATCTGTTCTCTCAGCATCCATACCATCTTTATCATCATTCATATAATCTCCATCATAATTATCATTTACATAAACTCTATCTTTGTCACTACTTTTCATACATTCTCCATCTTAATTGCCATATAATCTTTGTAATATCATCATTTATATAATGTTCATCCTTTTTGTTATTCATATCCTCTTTGGCTTCATCTTCATTATCATTGCTTAAATGAAGTATATTTAGTACTTATGAAAACTGATGCTTTAAAAGCCATTTTACATAGATATATTTCCAAACCATTTTATGCCTTTGTGCTTCGGAAACATTTTACATATTTTTTAAGACTCTTATGCTTTTAAGTTCTTAAAATTTTCTACATCAATCGAATCCACTAAAATTATGTAACTGCTTATTATGTTTACCTTCTGTGAATACAGTATACTGTAAAATTTCTGTATCTCTTGTAGAACATTTCATAGCTGTATACTCAAAGAAAGTAATTTTTCACAAATGAAATAATTATCTACTATGAGAGATTTTAGTAAACTCGTAGAAAAGTACTTACATAAAAATATACCTTCTTTATGCTACCCAGATGTTGCTTTCAAAAAATGGAGAAACAAATGTAGATTTCACTTTTGATTCTAAAAGCACATTAAGACAAAGTAAATTATTTAAAACTTCTAGATAATCAGAAAATTGAGCTATAATTTGCTGCTTCTGTCAACTTATTTGTAATTTCAAAAGCAATTTCAGGTAGCATCAGAAACAGAATTGTGAATTACAAGAATTTTTTATGTACTGAAACAATTTTTAAAGAAGATTTTTTTTTATTATCAAACTTTACTCAATTTTCTTATATTATAATGCATGTTTGCTCTAAGCTTATTGTTATACATCTAGACGAAAACTGTTTGTGTAGAAGTTTCAAATTAAAGCCATTAATTAAATTGCTATAGAAATACTAAAAATTATGTTTTAGAATTTAACTTTACCCAATGTATATTGTGTTTATGAAATATTTGTTATGAAAATTTTTAAATTTTAGCATCTGTTTTAAATTTTTTCATTACTTGGTTTAGTTAAAAGACATTCATTTGAAACTGCCTTTTTTTATTCTGTTTAATATGATTCTTTTATGCACATCATAATAAATTGAAAATTAAATAGTGATTAATTTTTCAGAAGAGAAGTGAGAGTTCTCTAAAGCAGCAGATTGTTCCTGAAAGGTATGCTTCAAAATGTAATACTTTATTAACATACTTTTTTTTTTTTATTTAAAGGGAAAAATTTTGCGTATTTTGTTTTAGAAATGATTATTGTCAGACTCTACTCTTTTTTCCTCATTTTAAGTAAAGGAATGGTTAAGCATGTAAATAGTTATTAATTATTTTTGCTAATGTAAATATATTATCAACTTATTGGCTAAATTCATGTGAATCACTTTTTTTAATCCCAAAATTTTTGTTCTAAAAGTTTTATATAATGTTATTTTACTTATAAGGATTTTATTTTTTACTGTTTGAAAATGAAAGGAGATCATGTTTTCGAAAGGGAAAATCTTCTGTGTACTGTGGCATACCCCCCATCTCCCCAAAAAAACTATGATAGGTGATCTCATCACTATACATACAAGCAGTTCCTTTCCCCAAAACAGCAGATGTATAAAGAAAATTATTTGTACAAGCTTAACATCCTGGGATTTAAATTTTTTTCAACAAAGATTTCCACTTGCTTCTAGGCATTTATATTACTTGTTCTTATGTGTATTTATATATATTTTATTAGCCAAACATCAAGTACTAAAGAAACAACTAAGAGAAAACAAACAAAAGAGAATAAAAGTAAAGAACAAAACAGTCCTGTAAAGGTATGTATATGATATTAGGTAATACTGTGTGGTTTAATATAGTTAGTGTATTTGCTTCTTTATTAACCTGTTAATTTTGCAAAAATATGAATAGTCATTTTCATTTTTGTTATGCAGAAATCCCGAAAAGCTGCTTTGACTTCAATTAAAAGAAACAGAGAAATATTAAAAGTTAAAGATTTTAAATTCAAGAAAACTTCTGAAAAGAACATTGACAGTGTCTATAATTTCAGGTATGAAAAGTCTGAAATTCTCTAAGCCAGAATAAGTTTTTTTCCTTTTCAGTACAAAAGTTATCTGTATATTCTATTTTCCAAACTAAAGTCATAGAAATTAGTCTTCTGAGAATTATTTTTTTGTAGAGGGAGGGGTAAATTTTAATACAAAGAGATTTATTTTAAACTGACATTCAGAGCAATCTGTAGCTTGATCTATCAGCTATCAAGATTTTGGTGGGCAATATGGGGAAAGTGATATTATCAATATGGGAAAAAAGTTTTCGGAAAAATATAGTTCAGAAAGTTGCAGATAAAGATTGCCACTGTTGTATTTTGCACAGCTGAAAATTTCCATGGAACACAGGTAAAATTTGAAAATGCAAATGCAGGTTTACATAAACAACAGCAGTACCAGTAATTCAGTCTATAAAAGTAAAGGGGAAATACCAAAGGACGTTCTGAATCTTAACTGGGTTCAACATGCATCTCACTTTACCTCAGTTACTTGTGAACTTTACTTGGAAATCAGGGTGCATTTCTTGGTTTCTTTATCTCAGCTTATGTTGCTTTAATTGATGAGTTATTTTTATAGTTACTAATGAAATCCAGCCACTGATTTTTGTGAGTTTAGAAGTCATAACAACCTGCACAAAAACCTTATATCAGTTAATGCATTTAACATTCCAGCATGCACACTTAGCAATTTACATGAGCACACGCACATCGTATTTTTTACGACATCTGTTATTTTACCATTTTTGGCACGAAAAATGACAGAAATGAATGAATATTGATAATAAATTTGTTAAAACAAAATACAGGGTGTTTATAAAGTCTCCGACCCATTTTGATGTTTAATAACTCATAATAAAGATAGATTAAAATTAATAACATAAATGGTTAGATAGGCTAAAAAAAATTCAAGACCCTTGTCAATGAACTTCCAAGTGTGACCCCTTCGTCGCACGGAGAATATCAAGTCAATATTCAATTTCATGCCAGGTGCCGGCAAGCATGTCAGCATCCACAGAGGTTATTGCAGTTGTAATTCTGACTTTTAGGTCATCTATGTTCGACACTCTTCTCCTGTAAACGTTGTCCTTTACAAGTCTCCAAAGGAAAAAGTCCATAAGTTTGCAATAGTTGCCGTTGTTAGTTCCAAAGAAAAAGCAAAAGTTGCCAAAAACAAAAGAGAGAGAGAAAAATGCATTTAAATAAGCAGACGATTATTTAAAAAAGTATAGATATATAGACTGGAAAATAAAATTATCTGAAATTAACCGCATGCACAGACGATATTAAAAAAAATAAAGATATTCAAACCTGAAAAGGAAAATCTATATAAGTTATTCCATCATAAATGCCCAGTTCATTTTTTCTTCTTTATATTTATGAGTTAGTTTAAAAACACATCAAATGGGTGGGGGACTTTAAAACATCCTGTATTAATCTTATTCTGCAAAATACAAATGATGTCTCATTCAAATGACAGTAAATTATTTTTAAACGCTTTCTATTAGTCAGGTGGAAAAGCAATGATGTATTTTATTATAGAAATTTAAAAAATTATTATTTAATAAATATATTTTAAAATCTAATCTAGTTTTAATATTAGTCTGTCCTGTCCTGTTGATTTATCATCGAATCGAAGACAACTTGAAACAAATAAAAATCTCTTGCAGGTCATCATAGCTCTTGTTATTTCAATTCCAATGCCATCACTTGAGAATAAGTCTTTTGCATTTACATGTCCTTTTTTTATTCCTATCATATGTAACAATCCAAAGTAAGCCATCATTTCCACTCAGGTAACAGTGCAGTCTCTATTTCTTGAGTATTTTGCCTTTTAGTAAACGTATAAATTTACTTGTACATTCCAAAATTTCATCAAGCATATTTATAGCAACTATTTTTTAAAATGTTCCCATTTCATCCTTTATATCCTTGGCATGGTCTTTTAGGCCAGGTAACGCTCACGATATTCATCTTATTCGTCTTTGAGCAGTTTGCATACTTCTGTTTTTGCCACATAGAATATATCATAGTCATTCCCTCTTTCTATATCATTATTACTATCATCTACTATCATCATCCGAAATTTAGTGTTCAGATTCAGTGCTGATATTTATCTCAATATTTTCCTCACACAGATTGCTGTTATTCTCACATTGAAAGGTTTCCTTCTCTTCTTTTTCTTCATCAGATAATTCTTGAAGAATGCGAGCAAAATCAACTGGTGGTGCATAATTTTTTGCCTTGAAAACCGATATAAAAATTATAGAGTCGAATTTATACAAATTGAAATAATACACATCAATTAATAACACAAAATTACAAAATATTAAACAAAAAAACTATTCTTCGAATTTTTACCCGCGACCACGCGCATGTCGCATGTCTAACTTTTATGGTGAAGCTGCTTGGTAGCGCAAAAGCCCAGTAAAAAAACAAAAAAGTCATATGACTTCCTGTTGGCACATTCCATAATTTGGGAAACGGTTGAAAGGAGGAATAGAAATGACATTCAGATGTCTCAGCTGAGGTATGCAAAAAGTGTGCATTAAAAACCGAATTTGTTGTAAACTTTGTGCACAGTGCGTGTGCTGGAAGGTTAAAGGCATGATTCAGAAGTTTGAAGAAATATGATCCTTAGCAATTCAATCTGAGTGGTCTCCAAAGTGAAGTACACATACCTCAGACCGTACACCAAGAAAGTGGGCTCATGATCACTTGCTAGTATATGATAGTGCATATTATGTTACAAAGGATACAACTTATAATTATTTTTGTTTCAGGGTTATGTGATAAAAAAAGTTTAAAGATCGCTGTGATAAAAGGTGGAAACTTGTGTCAAAAAAGACAGTTACTGATGTCATGACTGCAGTTGTTGTTGGTATCCATGGGGCCGTTGTTCATAATAGCATAACAATTGTATTTAAGTCTTTCATGATATGGAAAATCTCACAGAAAGTTCTCCACTTTTACTCATACAGGATTAACCGCATGTATGAATTAAAACATGATAAACGAGTAAATATAATAAATTATGATAAACGGGTGGCATTTTTTCTCACATTTCTTGTCAGGATATAGATAAGTGATGCTTGACTATGGAGAATTGTGTGGGAAGATGAGGCTTATTTTACCTAAATGAGGCTGTTAACTCTCATAGTTCTCAATTTGAGCATCCATACAACCCCATGCTGTTCAGGAAATCCCATTGCATTCACCAAAAGTCATTGTCGGATGTGGCTTTTATCCTCAAACACTGTGATATTATTAATATCAATGATTTCAAAAACTGTTGATTTCAACCATAATAAATCTTGAACGCCTTTTACTAAGGCAAAAACCTCAGCTTCTGTTGAGCATAAAGCTACACAATTTTGTTTTCGACAAACCACACACACTGTCACATTTAACTTGATAACATAGCCAGAATTTTTTTTTTTTTTTTTTTTTTTTTTTTTTTTTTTTTTTTTTTTTTTTGTTAGGATTACATGTTGTTAGGGTCTGTATCTATATACATATTTAAAAGCATTTTCAATACACTAATTTCACTTTTGGTATTTTTTTAAGGTAGCAAAGAATTTGCTTCCAAGCATACCATGCAGATTCACTAGGATTTTCTTGCAACTTGCTTAAAAAATTCACTGCATATAAAATATCTGGTCTGCTCAGGTAAGATAAATGCAGTAATGAACAAACAAGTTTTTGATAAGGTTTTTCACACTTAGAGCGTTTTTTTAAATCACCTGGCTTAGATTTAGTTCCATAGGAGTAGAACACACTTTGCAATCCAACAGCCAGCCACAAGATATAGGATTAGAACCACCAGATGTAGGATCTAAAAATAATTTATTTTGTGTGAGCTTTATTCACATCCCTAGAAATTCAGAAACTGTTCTAAATTTGGAAACTGCTCCGTCTTAATTCTGTAGTTAACAACTCAATAATTGCAATAAGTTCATAATTATTTTATCTAGCAATTAGTAAGTTGTCCACATAAAGACCAATAATTATCTCTGTGCCACTCTTTTGGCAAGTAAAAAACAATTATCTTTGTGCCTAAATTTGGAACTCTTTTGTACTTCTTTAAATACACTCTAAATGCAAGTTCATATTATTTTTCTAAAAATACAAGGCAACAATATCTGACTCTTTAATCGCTTAACACTTAATTTTATGGTGAAATTGAGAAATTTTTTTATACTAATGTCGAGGTGGCTGTTCCAATCCATATAAACTGTTTTTAAGTTTACACTTTCTATTATTATGGTTATCATATCATTTTGGCTTATCCATATAAATAACTTCTTTTAAATAACCATTTAAGAATGCGGTTTTACATCTAGGACAAACATTTTCAAATTTTGTTTTAAAATAATCACCAGAATGAACCATAAAGCAAGCATACTAATGGCAGGTGAATAAATATTATCATAGTCATTACCTTCTTGTTGAAGCCACCAGTGGAGCTTTATACTTTGTATCTCATTTTCATCTTAAAAGCACCATTAGCTTTACCTCTTTTCCCAACGGCATAAGTATAAATTTCCCAGAACGTTTTCAAGTTTCGAAATTTCAGTTTCTTTAGTACAGGTCTGAAAGAATGAATGACCCAGTCTTTGACCCAATGTCACAAATTACTATTAATCTCTTTTGTTAGTAACGACACATCATAATCAGGCACAAAATCTCCACGATTGTCATGAGAGCCAAAACATTTGTTATTACTTTTGATAAAAGTAAACACCTTTTGATCCTTAAAAATCAAACTGAAATCTGCAGCTTCAGAATCTCACCCTGAAATTAATTCACCATCTAAATCTGGTATGAAAAGCAAAGTTTTTATGCTTATTTTAACACCACTGGATGTTTTGCCAAAAATATAGCCCATTCCTTTCACATTTAAGATAGATGAACCCAAAGCATATTTTATATTACCCAACTTGGGAGTAAATGAAGAACACCATTCTTTAGGCAAACACATGGTAAAAGTTGCTCAGGAGTTG